GGAAAATTGTTATTAGCAATGATTTAAAGTAGTTATGATTGTAAGCTAATTTTTATTAATTTAATGTATGTGCTTATTTATATTTTAAGTAGTGTTTTTGAATTTAATTATATTTTAATTAAATGATAGTTATTTTGTGAATTTTATGTTTGTAGGAATTTGGTATATGTTTTAGTTGAAGTAAACGTGCATGGAAATAATTTAAATATTTGACACTAAGTATTTGTTATGTTTGCGGTATGAATTCATTGGTGACATTTATAATATAATAGATAATTTAGAGGTAAAAGTTTTTGGATATTTTATTTATTTTACACGTGGAAATGTTCATATTTGGAAAGGGTATATACTTTTTCGTTATTAGGTAATTTCATATATGTTCTTTTTAACGGGTTTAAAGATTCAGAAAATTGTCATGCATTTTCGTGAAATTTTTCTAATTTATGAGAAAAAAGGAGTGTACATGGATATGGTGAAGAGTGTGCGCAATGCCATTTTTGTGCAATTCTGGGATTTTTTTTTTTTAAGTAAAAATAAGTCGACGTGTACATGGTTTAGTGATATTTTAATTAAACGATAGTTATTTTGTGAATTTTATGTTTGTAGAAATTTGGTATACGTTTTAGTTGAAGTAAACGTGCATGGAAATAATTTAAATATTTGACATTAAGTATTTGCAATGCTTGCGGTATGAATTCGTCGGTGACGTTTATAATATATGATTTAGAGGTAAATTTTTTGGATATTTTATTTATTTTATATGTGGAAATGTTCATATTTGGAAAGAGTATATACTTTTTCGCGATCAGGTAATTTCATATATGTTCTTTTTACCGGGTTTAAAGATTCAGAAAATTGTCATGTATTTTCGTGAAATTTTTCTAATTTATGAGAAAAAAGCAGTGTACATGGATATAGTGAAGAGTGGCGCAATGCCATTTTTGTGTAATTCTGGGATGTTTTTTTAAGTAAAAATAAGTCGATGTGTACATGGTTTATGTGTATGTGTTATTTTGAAAAACACATAAGGAGTATGGTATTGTGCACTTTTTCCCAATTTTGCTGTGAATATTTGTCATGAGTAAGCAGTTTTGTTAGATAAAATTTGTAGCATAAGTGTAATTCGGCTAGTAGAAGATTAGAAGATTGAAGTAGTAGATTGAAGTGATTGGAAGAAGTGTTCAGTAGATAAAAAGAAACATGTCTTTACTTCATGAAGACAAAATGGCGGCGGGGAAAAAAAAAATAGAGGGTTGCTGTAGGAGAGTTGGCCGCCAAAGTTTCACCAAGTTACCATAATCTAAAGATCAACCAATTAATTTTATTATTTAATATTTAATTTATTATTTAATAATCTTTAATGTTTGCTTCCATACTGCTAATAAAGTTTAAAACTGCTTCCAAATGAAATAACAGTGTTACTCAACTTGTTGAATGTAACATTTCTTACATTTCCAGATGGTATTACTTTAAATCATTTCTTCATATGCACTTTCTTTGAAGATTCAAATTAGCATATTGGATGAGAACATATCTAAAAAAATGGTCCAACTGTTTTACTTGTCGCATATAAGCACATACTCTATCAACTTTTCACAATATAATCTGCAGATTGAAATTTACTGTACGGTTCCGCTTGGTTTCTGTCTGAAAAATATTGCCAAGTGGTATTCATTGTTTATCAAATCTGGAAGCCTGCTGTGTGAAGTAGGTTTTTTGGTAACCCTAATATTGGCGAAATTAGTCTTGCAGAAAATTGCGACTATTGCCAAACGTGTTGCGATAAGTTGAGATTTTGGCTATTTTTTGTCATAGTAACCTTTTCGTACGGACCGGAGATTTTCAATTACTGTGCTTGGTTGCATGTGCGTAATGTTTTATGAAAGTGGTGCTCTATGCAGGAGAAAAACGAAGGACGGCTTACACTATTATTTGGCCGAATATGTGTGGTGCATGAAGAAGCAGGAAAAATAAAAAACGGATTTATGGCTTTCTTGGACACAATTATACATATATATCCGCTATCAACAGCGGATGAGCCGAAAAGACCAGTTATTTGATTAAACTGCTTACGTGGACGAGATGCTGGTGGGAGGCGTTAACGCAGTGATTCTCAATTATCGTGATGTCAAATTTTAAAAATGTATATGGTAAAAATTATAATAGGTTTAATCCTAGTATACGGTACACATAAGAATTGGCTAAATTCGGTTTTTAAGACATTAATATGCGTGTCAATTGTGGTATCGAAGCCGATTTTGGTGCCGAAGACTTCTGTATCTGAATTAACTTTAAACGAAGAGGAAAAACTAATTTCACTTTCTAATAATTGAGATTTAACTTTACAATAGTTGGAAGAATCAATAATTCATTTTGGATTGACATTAGATGTGATTATCCCACGATAGCCAAAAAAGCTTTAAAAATATTATTACAGTTTTGTACATCTTATTCGTGTGAATACGGATTAACCAACAAAAAAACGAAAAAAAGATTGAGACTATTAAGTGTAGAAGATGATTTGAGAGTAGCATTGTCATTTTTATGACTGAATATAAATGAAATTATAAAACACATCAAGCTCAAATTTCTCATTAAAAGTATTCTTATTGTTAACATGTAATTAATCCCTTAATAAACGTACTGCTGTTTTTGTAGTGCATACTTTATTTTACATTCAAATTTATTATCATAAACAGTGGTAAGTAAACAACTTTTAAACTTATCTTTTTCTCTGTGTGGCACCAAATTTTAAAATCATTAAAAGTGTGCCGCGACAAAAAAAGGTTGAGAATCACTGTGTTAACGTATGCACGTGAAGAAAAGGTATGTTAAAAAATTGACGTTTTATTTATTTATTATGGTAGTATATGTGTTTTAAATGTGGATGCAAAAGCATTGAAGATGACACATATGTTGAAATTAAAGACTAAGACTATGATTGCACTTTTCGATTACAAAGGACTTATTCACCATGAATCTGTCTTTAAAATATTAATCAATTAAATCAGTATTTTTATAAAAAGGTGCTTTTCCGATTAAACAGGATAAGGGGCGTTAAGAAGGAACTTTCTTATTCTGGCCTTTTGTTTCTTTTACATGATATTGCCCCATTCAGCATTGTTTGCACAGTAAAATCTTGATAAGCATTCAACTGCAATGACTGTCACCTACTATTTTCTTCCGACTTACCCGCAGCTCATCTTTTTTTTTTTTTTTTTTTTTTTTTTTTCCTGAAGCTAAGATGACCATGAAAGGGCAGGGATTTGGGAACATTTCAGATTTTTAATCAAATGTTACGTTTATTTTGTGAACAATTAACTCCAATTCCTATTAACAGTGTTTCTTGACCTGGAAAACCGTATAGACAACTCTGACAGTTATTTTCAAAAAGATAAATTTATTTGAAGGTTAGTAATCTTTTTCTTATTTATAAGAAACTGCTCAGTTACTTTATGGCTACACCTCATATATCATTCAAGTACAAATTGTAAAAGACGATCCATATTAATACCAACACAAAATTACAACATTCCTCTAGATTAACAGATCACAAATATTACAAAACTACCATTCAGAACTGTTATATCCCTTTAAAAAAAAATGCATTAAATAATAGTCAAAAGCCACCTGGTACAAGCTTTTGCGAACAGCAGGCAACTTATGTTTCTGCTAATTATTAACTATGAACTTTTCAAAATAAGTTCCTAATGCCAAAACTAATTACTTCCAATTATTTTACACTTGCTTTTCTATAAAATAAAGAAATCCAAGTTTTGTCTATTTTGAGAACAAGCAATTTTCATATTATTCTAGAGACAGCATATTACATTATGAAAATGAAGCTAGCAAAAATATCCTTTATCTTGCTGCTTAATAGATGTAAAAAAACACATTAAAAATGACGTTTGCTCTATTTTTGAAATTTTAACACATAACACGATTTATAACATGCTACGACTATACACACTACATACAATAATTCAGTGTCTTAAAATACCCTTGAAAGACATACACCCTGTTTAACATACACTACAATAATTCTAAGACATTCAAATGAACGTAAAAATGAAGTTCTTACTATTATGACAACTTGCCTTGAATTGTTAAATGTTTGGCTTTAAAATTTCATAACCATGAGAAGGTGTCATCCATACATTTATTAAAATTATGATATCCTTGTGTGCTTTGACAAATCAATTATTATATGCACATTTGAGAAGGATAGTGCAAACACCCCGAAGCCTTGATCAAGAAGTGATTACTTCGCGGATGTATTTTAAATCATTGCTTGCAATCTATATCTGCAAAAACCTCACAGGAGAAATAAGAAAATCGTAAGAAAACTCCTTGCAAATGCAGTACAATTTATTTAGTTCCGAAGAGAGGTAATTCATGATGTCGAACAGTAAAGTGTTCTTTCTGCATCTAAGCAGTGGGTAATATTTAATAAAGCTAAACAGTCAACGACAAACAGCTACATTAATATTTTAGATGCAAGAACTATTATAAAACTAAAAAGCTACGTCATTAAACATTTTTAGCGTGACAGATCGAAAGGAGCAAACTTATTGAGCTAATAGGAAATATAACGCTTTAGAAGCTTGATCATTCGCTACATGTAGCGAGTTATTTACATTAATACCACCTGCAAAATATAACTAGAAAAAGGTTAACTTGAATGTGCTTTGCAAACAGCTAATATTTTCAAAGAAGGTGTTTATATTTATCATGAATTTTCATTCCTTAACAAAAACGAACCGCTTTTCCAAAGCAACCAGGTATTTAATCTCCACCCTACAACTATTCTACTCTACCTGTCCGGAGCAGCCTTGAGGGTGTGCTACTACTACGCCATCTTGATTTTAACAAACGTAAATAAGGCCAATTAAATGCGAGATTTAAGGAATACAATTCAAAAACAACACGATTTAACCGATACCAGAATAAAGTCAAACACCCTTAATCCAATTCATAAGTTTATTTTTAATTTAGCTTACCTCATTGGGTTCGGATAACCAAAATATATCCAATCGGTTAGCATTCCACTGGTTGATAATATTCTTTAACTTTTCGCGTTCTTGAACTTTTCTGTCGTGATCGTTGGCCATTTTGACAATAAAATCCGTTTGTTAAGATTTCTACTGGACGGTTTCAATTTTAGGCACTATGACAACCTTTCACACACGTTACACAACACTTAATGCACAAGCAGTTTATGTGCGACTTCCTCGCACGATATAGAAAATGTTTCTAAAGCTACCAGAGCGATTTAAAAGTCACAAGCGCATGCGCGATGAGCGCCCTCACTAGTGTTTGGGACGCAACAAACACTAAATTATATGTTCCAATGTTTTTAATATCGTATAAATCATTATTAATGTACATTTATTAATAAGGCTTATCATTAATATTTAAAAAATCGACGTTAAGAGTTAATAACATAAATATTAATTAAAAATTAAAGACCCTGTCACGGAATTTGAATAAAAACCACTACGTCAGACGTCTCACTATTCCGGAATTACCAACGCGGGTGATTGTAATACTGCTTGAAAAATTATTAGGGTTCTTGAAAAGAAAATCCGAACCCTAAAACAATTTAAATTGACTCTGGAAAATAACCTTCTTGGAGCCACTGAAAGACTCTATTACTGCTATGAAGAAATTAGGTGCCGCAATGCAAGACTCGTGCTCGTGATAATAAGTGTGATATTATTCAAAGACTAGCAACACCCTCCCATAGCAAGTCCTAATATTTTTTCTGAAAGGAAAAACTAAAGATAAATATCCCGAAGATTTATATAAAAATCTGGAACATCAGACCAATTTCCTAACCTCCTCCCCCCCTCCCCCACGTAAAAACATCTAAATTACAAACGATTGGTAATACTCCTTCCGATATCTTAACCCAAAAAAATTAGGCCTCCTTCATAGTATGAATAAAAATCCAGATGCCATTGCATAACAAAATTCTATCCCTGGAATAATGCTGACCCAGCAACACATATTCCAGCTATTCTACCCATAACGATGAAACCACTAGATAATATCTCGTGGATGCATAGATTTCCCGAAATACATCTCACAAAAAAACAATGTTCCATTTTTTGTCAGCATGAGTATAGTGAATATCAAAATTTTACCTTCAACTCAAGAAGCATAATCAAAATTACTAAAAAATCTTTAATTCAGCCTACATTGAACCTTGTATCATTACTCATAAATATAAAAGACCAGTTGAAATAGTTTTCATGAATTACCAATAAAATCCCCCAAAGAAGATAGTAACAGCTCTCACAAATCTAGGCATTCAAGTCACGAGAAACAGAACTTCTATACCGAATGAAAAACGAGAAAAGATTTATACAGTTAATCCCCTACTTCAGTTCATCATATAAAGACAGAGAAATACATTACTAAAAATTTTATAGCACAGTGACATAAAAGTTAAAAACTTAACTACTCGTCAGAAAACTGTTATCTCGCGTCTAAGTGCACCAAATGTAACACAAATCGGCTGTCTGTCCTCTTAAAGGTCGATCAGAATAATCAAAATGTGCAAACTGTTTAGCTCACATTGATTCATATGCACGAAATTTATTAAAAAAATAAATAAATAAATACTGCTCGAAACTTTCAAAGGGGAAATTGAGCACTACTTCTGTGAATCCCCATTACTCTATATCACAACAAAAAATCCAATGATGAGAATTCACTCCCAACCCACCTGCTACTGACTATAATATTAATTTCTCACCTAAATCCTACGCAAACAAGTTAAAATCAAAATTGACACCAAACATTAACAATTCGTCTTTGAATTCATTAGGTATTTTCTTCCACCTTTCTGAGTGCCTTCTTGGTGTAACGGTAAGCGCACTCGGCCCGTATGTCCCGGCGGCATATTTCACAAGTGCACATCCGTGTAGCCACCTTGGGAGTGGCTTCTAGGATGGACCAATGAGCATCCAGTAATATTTCTGTCATGTCACATGACCTTCTGCGTGCTTTAAGATTTTAGCAAGACGGTTGAAAATATTCTGCCACGCAATTTTTTGTGAAAAATAACTAAAGCATCGTCAACTGCTTCTGAAACTTTTCACTGTGAAGTTAGATCAAAGACAGGCAATTATGAATATTTCACTTCCTGGTTAAAATAAGTATAAACATATGTTAGATGCTTCGTAAAAATATCGATGTGAAATATTACTTAAAAGTGGTAAATAAGGTGAAGAAAGAAACATATGATAAACATCTGAACCCAAATGCAATCTTTACATAAAACCATGCGCATGAGAAAAATATTTACACCAGTTGGTGCTACTTTGGTAGACGGTTGCACGGATTTTTGGCGATTTACATTGGCGCAATTGTTGGCGCGGTTTTTACAGTCGTCAGCCATCTTGAAAAATGCTGTTTTTACGTATTTCACGCATAGTAAAGTATTCGAAACTTTAAAAAAATAAATATCCTTAAAAATAATGGATTAATTTTTTGTTGAAAACGTTGTTTTCATTAAGATGGCTGACAAGTGTAAATAAATACATTTACTAGAGTATAAAATGCTAAAGTAAGGTTAAATTATTACTTTCATATAATAGAATAAAAAACATTGCGCCAACATTTAATTGGAATAAAATATTACTTAAATTGAATATTGAATTGAAAACATCATACCAACGTTTAAAAGAATTAAAATTTTTCAATTACTTACTTAAATTCAAATCCTTTAAAATAAGTTTTATAGGATATAATTATTTAACATTAAAACATGTGGCAATAAATATCTCAGGAAATTTTTGAAAAAATATGTATTAAATTTTTTAATAAAAATTGAAGTATACAATAATAAAGTAAAAGAAAAATATGTACTTACATTTTTTTAAGCATTTTACCTATACGCATATTGATAAGCACCAGGAAAAAAAAAAAAAAAAAAAAAAAAAAAAAAAAAAAAAAAAAAACTTCATTTGTTATCCACCATTTCTCGCACTTCATTGAAGAAGCAATTAGCGAGGTTTCCTTCCAAATATTTTTAATAAATTTCCTCTCTGACCCTTGTAACAATAAATAAATCTTTGATTAGGAAATCCAGGTTGGCCAAAATAAGGTCTCAAACGGCAATTTTTTTATGCCGATACCAGTAATTAATTCTTGGTAATTACCACTAACAACATTCATCTTCGAAACGAAGACATCCATTCGCTTTGAAATCTGAGGAAATCGAAGAGATGAATAATAAAATTTTAAAATGGCGCTGTAATGCACAAATATTAAGTAACCAATCAGGGAGCTGATTACATCACGCCTAGAATTAAAATTATTTAAATAATCATTCATAATAAAATCATATTTAAAAAATGCAAAATTAAATTGTGTTTTTATATTTAACAGCCATAAATAATGTTTAAAACATTAGACTAAATTTATAGATATTAAAACTAATTACTTTTAAAATAAGGTGACGTCATTGATTACATCATCCACAAAATAAAATTTCATAAAATATCATAAACAATAAAATTTTTATTTCAAATAAAAATGCAAAATTAAATTGATTTTTAATATTTAAAAGCCATAAATAATATTTTAAACACGGAATTTATGCACAATAAAACGCATTATTTTTTAAATAAAATGACAACAAAGTATCGGTTACCATAAATAACTTATCCAGCAATGGGTTTACATAAGTCGTATTACTCGCCAAAAGAAAAATTGCCAAAAACTCGCCAAAATCCGTGCAACCGTCTACCAAAGTAGCACCCACCAGTTATATATGTAAATAGAAGTCAGCACTTTTTATTGCAGTCTATATGAAAAAGATGTTCTATAATAATAACCAATGCAGAATTTTATTCAAAGTGAACTTTACTATAATTTGCATTTGTATACATTTAGTGCCTTAAATTTCATATTTAATAACTGCTCACTCTTAAATGTACTCTCTACACAAGAAATACTCATCAAACAGAGTGAATTTATCTTATTCACAACGGATATATTCAATTTATATACAATTAATTTTTAATGTTAGGCAATGGATATATATCCTGAATATTTACACTTTAAAAATCAAAAGAATGCAAGCACTGTAAGAAAGCACTAGATTCATTGTAACCCTTTCAGTCATTCTCAGCTCAATTAAAAAAATATACACTTGAATTCTTTTAATCCACATATATTCACAACATCAATCCAAATCCAAATGCGTAATAAAAATCGCGAAAGTGAAATATCAGCGATTAATTAAACTCAACGAAAGCACTACAAGATTTCTACTATTACGCCATATATTTATAACTGCGAAACAAATGCAAATTAAAGCGTTAACAATATATGCTCACATGCACGAAGATTTAGTGTTACAATATCAGGTTCAATATTTCTTCTAACCTTCTTCGGAAACATACAATGACCTGACTAGAACAGAGAGCTTACTAAAGCTATGTTCACTAATTGTAGTAAGTAGACAGGATACAGACGAAGGGTATACAAAACCCTTTATTTTTTTCTTTATATACAATGACTTCCGTACTTCGGAATACAATGACCCTCCACTCGGGGTCTAACTTAAAAGATATCAAAATAAAACTAAACTCTAATTTAACTTTAGAATAAGATTGGCCTTATAATAACAGGAAGCGTATGTAGCACAGAGACTGTGAACACTACAATACGTTTAATTTATCAAGAGGATTAAAACCTCTGGCCTGGAAGGCAAAGTAGCAACTGCGTAACTTCTAAGGTAAGCGGCCTGCTTCGAACTCACGGCTTCCTCTCTTCTGCTTGGCAAAAAGGCCACACTTAAATACTTGGCGTTCGCCAGACAACTTTGCATAAACTCCTTCACGCTTATAATTCTGGCCGGAAGTAGAAAATAAGAAGTGATAGTAAAGATTTAAAATAAAATAACGTTAGTAAAACTTAAGATCCTTACATACTTCCCGCCAGAGTTAATTAGTTTGAAACTGAGGTCTAAAACGACCTTGTTGAAAACTTTTAGCTCTAGAAACTAACGCGAGGCCAACCTTTTACAATCATAACTTAGCTAGAAACTAGAAAATTTTAAAAAAAGAAAGAATTTGTTACAATAGCAGCTCCCGGAATATACAACAATCTTTTTTCTTTTTCATCTGTACTGCATCTAAACAGGAGCTTTATTCAATTCTGGTTCCTTCCAGAGATCTGGAAGGAAAACTAGTTTAATGAAATGTTACAGAATG